AGAGAAGTTGTGTGAACAGATGTGCTGCTGGCATTTCTGACTTCTTCACCGTGCATTCTTTTAGAGCAATAAACTGTACAGGAAAGGTGTATGTGTCAGGTAGTAAGAGTCTATTTATTTATGTCATTTGTATTAACATCTAGCAAATGGTTTTTAATTGCCTATGACTTCCTTGTTTTAATTTCAACAATTTCATGGGAAAACTTAGTATTGCAAATTTTTTTGGACAGCAGTGTTTCCTCTTAGTGGGATAGACATACAAAATCTGCTAGAAAACCATGTGTTTTGTGGTCCTCTGAGATTTGCCTGAAGAAGGAAATGGCTTGACCTATTTGGTTGCTATGAAGTAAAAACATTCTTGTTCTCTCTTTTTTTTTTTTTTTTTTTTTTTTTTTTTTGTGAACATCTGTGTCACATTTATTTCATTAATTTCTGAGGTTCTTTAAGCACAGTATTTGCTAATATGAAGTTTTATTTAAGGAAAGTGATACATAGCTGCTTCCAAAATTTCATTGAATTTCTGATATCTGCTTTTAAATAGGTATGATATAAGTGGATAGGCTTTCCAGTCAAAGTTGACATGTTGAAAGGCAAACACGAAAGTTATCTAGTATTTCCTAGGAAAAAAATGTGTTTAACAAATTCAGTAGGATCTTATGGAGGGAACAGGAAGTGTTGCATGCTGGAACCTTGGGAAATCTAAATCATAATCTCATCTAGGATTTGAAGGTGTTTTGATTTAAGTTTTCAACAGCTTGGCCTTCTTAGTGTGGTTTTAGTGATTAGCCTCATTTTCAGGTGTTTATAATAAGAAGAATACTTTTTATAATAAAAAGAAATAGTTATCTTATGCCAGGCATATGGAAGAATTGAAACTGATTCTGTTATTTAGTAGCATAATAGAAATTGTCCCAATGAGGATAGATTTTTTTGATTTTTACTAACAATTCTTCTGAAATCCATAAGAAAAAGCTTCAAGAAGAAACTAAGATCAGTCCATTTGTGAAAGTTGAATCTGAATTCAGATCTAGCTTTTGTTATCGTGTCCAAGGGCTTGGTTGGATTTTTTGATGTAAGTCCTTAATAAAAAAGGAGAAACCAGTGTTGATTTATAGATTAAATACATTGAGTGTCTTAAGAAAAAAGCTGTGTGAAAATGAGGAACCATGAGTCTCTGATCTCAGGGTATGGAAGAGGCTAACAGTAACTGTGGGAATTAGTTTTGGTGGTTCTTCTATCCAGCTGGTAATTCTCACACAGCTTGTAGGAACATCATCTGCTCAGTCAAATTAGATGGAAATTGAGTGCTGTACAAGGTGTACTTTGGCAGAAGGAGCTGATGGGTAGGAAAACAAATGTGGCCAATGTCTCTTGTGCTCACTCTTGTTTTCACACACATGCATGCACCAAAAAAGGCTGAAAAAATTAGCATATGCAAGTAAGGGAACTGCCTCACACTGTTTTCTCTAAGAGGAGCTGTGAGATGTAATCTCTTAATGAGTCACCTCTAAGGTTTTTATACAACTGCCTCATTAGTGTAACTTCTGGAATGCAGATTTTAATTTTTTGTTTTAATATCTGATTCATATTGCAAAATACCATTGATGCTGTTTTCTTGTTAAATTCCAAGTATTCAAGAGTCTATTTGCTGTTCCATTTTTGCTTTCATGTACTCTAGATATCATGTTCCTTAATAAGGTCCTTGTTTAGCTCACAATCAGTGTTGTCTGTAGAGTCAAATTCTGACATAAACAGATCCCATTGCCTTACTTTCAAGAGAGGGGAATTCTCAAAAGGAGTATTTGTAGTTGCTTTAGTTACTATAAAATAAGGAATTATGGTTGCTTGAGGCAGTGTTTCTTATATTCGGCAGTCAGATTCCAAGTAAGTTTTTTTTTTTCTTTTTTGTCTTTCTTACTCAAGTTTGTCCTAATGAACTTCCTGCCCAGTCATTCTGTTGCACCGAGGAGGAATTTTCCCACCAGGCCATGTACTCTGAGTACAAATTTGACCACTTGCAAATGAAATTTTTGAATTTGTAAAGCTGCTGCATGCTTTTGTTCCACTGTTGTAGCTGCCCAGCCAGGGAATGTGGGGGAAAGTTTTTTTTCCCAGGAAGTTGAGGTTAAACCACTATATAAGTGGCCATAAGAAGAGATGGTGTCTCTGTTAAGGAGAAACTCCGTTCCTGGAGAAGAACTTTGCAAGTTAAATACATTCTGTGACCATGAAACTCTTCCTACATACAGGACAGGGGCTGGGTCCTGCACAGGACCATGCTCAGCTTTTCCTGAGAGACCAGAAGGACCTGACTCCTGTCCTGTGCATGTGCCGTGCTCCTCTGGCTCTGCTCCAGGCAGGAGCTGCTGTGTGCTGATGATCCATTGTAGCAGATCTGTGAATAGATCCCTGGACTTCACTGCATCTCACTACTGCTTTGTGGTTCTCCCTTTGCGTTTTTCGTATTTTTGGTTCAATTTTTAAAATGTTTTTTTCTCTTCTTTTAGCTGAGGGAGTTCTGCTCAGTACCCACCCGAACAAGCACTTCATGTTTACCTTCAATCGCCTTTATGAGGCTGAAATAATCCTTGCTATAGTCTTGTATTTTGTAAACCTGGTGTATACTAATGGGGGAAAACTCATTTAGTATCTGTCATGTGAATGCATAAATGAGTAGTCCTTATTATGGAAGTATATATTCATAGACTCAAAAGTAACTGTTACTTTACAGAACTCTTTTGCTATTCAGTTTTGACCTACTATACCCTTCTAGTCATTAAAATTATCATATAATGTGGTAGGGGCATTTTAAAGCAGCATCCAACATTCATCTGGGGACAGGGAGAGTATCTGTGCTTGTGTTCCCACCGTCTCTTATCAGTTGTGCTGCTATCCCTGATTTGCAGTTTGCAGAGTAACCATTTCGTAACTGGAAGCTGAAACTGGTAGCCAAGGCTAGTCAAAGTTTAGGGAATTGGAATTCCAGGTCCATGTGAGTAGTGTATTCTTTGTGTAGATATTGCTGATTAATTCTGTAATCTCAGAATTCTGGGAATTTCAGGCTGAATCTTAGACCTGTATTCTGTGTATTATGTGTGATCAGCCTTTCTAGGCAGCTGACATTTCAGTTTGCTGTACATGTTTTAGCAAGGATAGATGAATGGAGCATATGGAGTTGATTATTTTTTTGGCTATAGGAAGTGGATTTTTGTGCATTAAATATAGTAACTTTCTTTTTTAAATATCTGAGCGGAAGCTTCCCCACTCCCAGTGATTTTTTTAAAAAATAAGAATACATGCAACTTTCTTCACTCTCATTTTGTGCAATGTAAGCTGGAAAGACTCAAAGTTTAGTCTTGGTCTTGTACCAAAAAATGACATAGTATCACATGAATGTTTTAAAAGATTAGGTGATAAGAGCAAACATAAAAAAAGAGACTGGTTTAAGTCCTTCGGCTGTGAATTCACTGATATTCAAAGTAAAGAGAGTATGCATTATGTTAGTGTTCTTATTCTACTGAAAACTTATTTATTTTCCTTTTGTATCTTCTACCTGTGTAGTAAGCCTGGAAAAGTAACATGTGTTATAAAGGGGAAAGGTTAGGTGAAATTGGTAATCCAAATTAAATACAAATAATGCTCTCAAGTTTATAGAGCCTGTGGGTGGGTGGACTTGGCAGATCAATCCGTTGTGGTATGTTAGACTTGAAAGAGCATATGGAGATTATTATTTTCTGGCATTTTGTAGTAAAAGTTTTTGAAGAAGGAAGTTTTAATTTTTTCTAATTTAATTTTTTTTTTTTTTTTAGAAATTAGGTGAAAAATAGGAATAATAACATCTTTTGCACTGAGTAGTAAAATAGTTTGTTGTAGTAGCATATGAAAAAAACGATTTATTTGAAGGTAAGCTGCTAAAAGAAATTCTACTGTTTTCCTATTGGCTGTCTTGTTTTCTGAAGATCCTGTGCAGCTGGGACTAATACAGGATCCAGCTGTAATTTTTTTTTTATTGTTGTTCAGATGTCCGGTGATGGTCAGATCTAAGTTATTGTGTGGAAATTCAGTAAAGGAAAAGGGTAGGGTGGGAAAAAAGTGACTCTCCATAAAAGTATTCCAGTAAAAGCAACAGGAACTAGGAGTATCCATTTCAGAACTCTGCCATAAATCCCATCCTGAAATACTTAAACGCCTTCGGATTTTGCTGTAGACTTTAAGTCATCTCAGAGATTTTGGTTAATTTTTTAAACAGAAATGAAGTTGAAATGGGAGGGTGCCGGTTCTTTCAAATTGCTTAATGGAAGAAGATGCTGTTTTCCCATCCACAGTGCAAGGTTTTAGTCTCTTTACTCTCTTTGCAGTATTGGTGCAGTATGTAATGCTGCAACATGGACTAGAGCAACAGGTTTGGGTTTACTCATTTCACTTATGCTGTGTTTTGCTAATCTTTGTTTTACAGAACCTAAGGATGTAAGAAGGGGAGAAGCCTAATATTTTTCTATAGAATTTGATTTACCTTTGATATATTTGGTGCTTCCAATTCTGTCTTTTGGGTACCTACTTCCTTTCCAAATCTTCATTCCAAACTTAACTTGCCCAGGGAGTCTATCAAATAGCTGCCTGAATTTCAGAGTTCTCTTACTGTTGCTCCAAGCCTTTAATTTTGAATGTCATTACTCAATCAGTTTGAGTAGACACTAGTCTAATTTCAGAAGTTTAGTAACAATAGGATACCAATTGTAAGTCCTGGTTGACTGAAAGATACTTCAAATACTGTAAGTTATATTCATCAATACTGACAGTGACATGAATTTTAAAACACAATTACTCTCTCAAACATAACCTGGACTTTTCATTTCTTTCCATGTGCCTTAATTGGTTGTTGACAATAATTTTTTTTTTTTTGGAGGAAAAAGAAAAAAGAAAAATGAAGATTTATGGTGGGACTGTTGGCTGTGGGATAGCCTGGCACTTAGCCTCTCAGTGCTACAGCAGAAGTGCTTTGAAGGCAGAACACTTCTAACACAAACCAATTGCAGTGCAAAAACATCTGTGATGTCCTTTTACATACACTATTTCAAATTAATACCATGCAAATAATTAGCTTCTTTTTTTTTTTTCATTTGCAGGGATTAAATAACCAGTACCACATTTTGTTCTTGTTTAGTAAGAATGGTAGTCAGAGTTCTTTTCTCCCAATTTTTAAAGGATGTGATCTTTATGTGAATTGTGAAGAGCCTAAAGGAATCTCTTTCAGTTAATTGTTTTCTTGAATTGCAGGTCAACTTCCAGTGCATTTTGCAAAATTGGTTTTATGTAGACTCTGCCAGTGTCAAAGACCATTAAAATACAGCAACTAGAATTAGAAACTTGGCTTACAGATTTGCTTTAGGATGTTTTGGCTGTATTCATGACACATTATAAGGAAAATTAAGAAAATATTTGTGGCTTAAGAATAAAATTTGCCAGCTAAGTTGAAGAAAGTAGTATGATAATGTCTTGCATTTTGGAAAGGGAGGGAACACTGCACTGTAACTATTACTGTATTGTGTTTTTCTCTGGAGCTCGTACGGACTTAGGAGATGATTTTCTAATGTGATGGGAGAACATTAAAAGGTCCTTCTCACATTGGAAAAATAATAGTACAACTATTCTAGCGAAGTTTTGGCTTTTCACTACCTCATTTTACATTTTGAAGAAAGGGTTTCCTGCTGAACAAACACATGTTAGTCTGATAGCATTTTCCTGTATTTGAATTGTGAACAGTCAAATGACTCAAAAAAATGTATGTTGAAGTAGATACAGGGTTTTAGCATAGAATATGTGCATACAATAAATCTATTCAAGTAATCAGTCTGCTTCCTTTCTCTCCCACCCCCTTACAGCTGGAAGTTCATCAGCTTCTGCTACTATATCTAGCTTCCTCTTGAGACTTTCTGGTTTAGAGTTAACAGTGGTGGCAGGCATTAGTGAACAATGTCGTGATTATATTCTGTGGGTCTGTATAAGTTGTCATTTTCCATTGCTGCTGTTTCTAATGGAAAATATGTCATCTATTTAGTAGGAGCATATTATGTGTGCCGTGCAGAGTTGCATTCTGCAGGGTTTAGTGAAAGCATGTACATCATCATTAAATCAGTATAAAATATTCCTAGATTTCATTAGTGACCAATTTGGCATTTAAAATGGAAAATTTGTGATATTTTTGTAAGTTCTTAGCTATGATAACACAGGACAGCTAGACTTTCATTTTTAGTTCATAATTAATTATGCTTTGAGGTTCTTTAGTATATGTTAAGACATTGCTTTGAGGTACAAAGAATGTGGAATAATTCAAAAAAAGAAAAATTAGATTCTTCCCGTTGTCTTATCAGTTGTGACCTTTATAACAAAATACTTTCAGTCAGATCTACTGGAATCTAATAGCCTGATTAAAAATTGTTATAACTTACTTTTGGTGACCTTTCTTCTTTAAAGGATCACAATGGAAGCTTTCAGAAACAGCTTCTAGAGAAGCTGGATTTGGAGATCCTGGTTAAACATCTGCAGGGTCAGTTGAGTTTGGCACTTGGGTGTTCTGGTTGAGCTTCAAGTGCTTCAACGAAGTTTCAAGGTCCACTTTAAGACATTTAGAAAAGGTAGAATAGATGCTATGACTGAAGAATGTAGTTTTTGTATGATTTTCAAGTGGACTGTAGACAGCTGCCTGTGCAGGTGTATGTCAGAATTATGGGAGACAAAAGTATAGGTTTAATAGTGCCACTGCTTTTATTACCAACCACTTCTTTCAGTGTTCAAGAAATTGTGAAAACAATAAAGGTGTTTTGTACTTGCTGCTGCATTGTCCATGTCTGTGATACATTGAAGAATTTCTGAACTGCACTAATAAGTTTTCCCACTGTTCAGTATGTGAGCTGTGTTGGTGGAGCTGCAGACATTGATGCTACAGACTGCTTAACAGAAGTTACAGCTTGGTATTTCTGGTTGCCCTAAGGCAAATTTAGGATAATTGCAAGTATGTTAATAGGAGTCAGATTTTTTCAGTCTTACACAAAGTTTGTCTTTGTATAATGAAAGCTTGTGCCAGGTAGAGCACTGCTCTGAAGGCACCACCTCTTTGGAAAGTTGTTTTGCAGAGGCTACATCTGACCACACTGTCAATGGAACTGGTATCTGCAGGTGAAAATATCAGGATTTACTGTAGATTTTACCTGTTTAGGAAGTGATATCTTTTGTTGTTACCTTTTGTGCCATTTTGAGGGGTAGCAGAACTAAAACATATAGTCCTACTTAATTGTTTCCTAGTCAACAAAAGCGTTTCATATTTGAGCATGACAGGATGAAGTGGAAATCTTAGAAAAAATGTTTATTAATAGGAGCAGTGGGAGCTGGCGGACTTAAAAATGAGATTGAGGCTTGAATCTCAGTTGCTTACATTTTCAGGGAAAATGCTGAATCTCAGATATTGAGAGTAACAAAACTAAATTGCTTCGATCTTTGAAGTTATATGGATATGATTTTTTTCTTGTTAGGTACTTAGCTGAGAAAAATGACTAAGTTACTTGAAAATAAAGTACAAAAGATTATGTGTTCAGATTATTTTTCACTGATCTCTGGAAGGAATGCAGTGATTTTGCCAGTAAGGGGCAGAGAAAACAGCTTAGAAAGGGCAATGTAATATTTCAGCAGATTTAGTTGAAACAGTTGGGGAAAGTTTAAATAGGAAGAATGTATTTATTCAAATGAGTTTTGATCAGAATGCCAGGAAGTCCGCCTGGAGTATGAAAAATCTTTCTTTTTGTAACATTTAACTTATGTCTGTACTTAGAAATGTTTCAGCAGATGTTGAATGTGCTCTATTTTGGAAGTATGGTGAAGCAGACTTGGTAAGACTGCTGATGGTCTTTTGCCAAGCAAAGAATGAGAGACCAGGGGTTTGACCTTATGGTAAGTGGATCCATCCAGCAGACTTGTTTTCAGTGGGCCAGAGAGAAAGCTCTTTTATATCTGAATTAGTGACCTGTCAAGCTAATTGTTTCATGGTGTGATGGCAACCAACAATTCACTAGAGCTGTGTATACTCTTTTCTGAGGAATCTGAAAATGCTTCACAGTCTTAAACGGAGCTTTGCTATTCCTTCACCAACAAATCTATGAGTAAATTCCTGACTCTCTGTGTGCCCTCTCAGACTTAAGGCAATGTGACCAATGGGCCTGTTGTTGTAATATTAAGAAACTGGAGCAATTGAAGCCTTAGATAGCCAAGCAGCAACATGCATTATTAGCTGTAGGGCATTTGTCTCCAAGTACTGCAGCTCAGTGGTTTCCATAGCAGGTATCACAGTTTCTTTTTTTGGAGGAGACTGCAGGAATTTAAAAGGTTTACACAACGTCGGACATAATATTGTGCACAGAGTTGTGCATCCTGGAATCTGTCTTATTTGGGGTGAATATAAATGCTGCTCAAGCAGTTACTTGATAGATGAGCAGTCCTGTATGGCATCCATAGCTGTCTGTGGAGACATTCCTCAGGGAAGGAATATTGCTTTCAAATCCGGCCGTTGCTCCACCTCCTTCAGTGCACAACTCATCTTGGAAAAAGAATAAATAGAAAGCTTCTGTAATAAATATTGTTCTGAAATCTAACTCCAGAACTGTGTCAGGCAGGGATGGAGGAAGGGGAAATATCAACTTTGCCTTGCTTTTCCTGAAATTTGGATTGTGTGCTTTAGAAACAGCCGGCAATCCTAAGTAACAGCTAATGCTCCTCACTAATGAGTGCAGTGCTGTGAGCAGATCCCTCATTGCCAAGAGTAGATGTTACTGGAAATTTGTGACAGAAAGCCTGTCTGAGCCCCAGCTGTTTTGCTGGGAACACAGTGGGTCTGATGAGCTGTGCCTGAATATTGAGCAGGATTTGGGGGTATTGCTGGTGGCTGACCAGCTCCAGGACCCCCCTGCAGCTGCTCAGTGATATTCCTGTCAATTTTCCGTGCTGCTTCTCCAAATGGATCTAACAGGAATGTCTGCTACTGCTCTGGTGTGTTTGCTTTTCAAGTCTATTTTCCAAGGTCTATACTAGGAAAAAATGTAGGTACCTGCCAGCCAACCACTTCCTCTTCCTAGTAACTCAGGGTGGCTGGGGAAACACAGCCCTTCTTGTAAGGGTAAAGCTGAAACACATTGCTACAGTCTTATTCTTTTTTCTTTCTCATACTATTTCAAAAGCTGAAGGAATCAGTATTTTTGCTTGCCTCTTCCTCACAGATGTGATTAAATGATCTCTGCTTTCAGGAGGAGTTGTTCCATCCTTGGTCTGAGTTGCTTGGATCCTGGAGCTGAAAGAATTCTAGATTGGCAGCAGGACATGTGTGGTTAGTCCAGGTGTTCACGGGGACTGGGAGCCATGTACCAATGGGAGATGAAGTGTTCCTGCTTTCCTTTTCATCCACACATACTCCTTGGGATGGTTGGGAGGAAGATTCCTGTCCTGATTGACAAGGAAAAGAAGTTGTCAGAGGAGTATTTGCTCTTCTCCTGTCAGTAGTTTAATCTTTGCCTCACACTCTACAGAGCTGCTGGGAGTCATCCCAAACACGTTGAAGTGACCACGGAACCAAATCCTGAGCAGTGGCTGCAGTACTTCAGGCAGTCCAGCTTCCCAGTCTCTATGGGCTCCTGCTTGTTCCACCCATTTTCCATCAGCAGTCTGAGCAGGTCACTCTCCCGTGCTGATCATCCAAAGAATTGCTTAAAGTGTTTTCTAATTCCTGTCAGTTTTGTCTGTATGCTTGGCTCAATCAGAAGTGAGCTGTGCTGTCGTAGAAGTTAGTCATGGGACCATCCAGTCCTTTTCCATCCAATTTTTTTGTACAATTCTGTCTAGTAATATGCTACAGTTGTATTGGGCAAAACCATAAATGCCCCAAGTTAAAAGATACATCCTGCTTCTATTGTGTGGTTTGAAAGATCTTACTTGTGGAAAGCTATTGCTTCTACACATTTTAATTTCAGAATTTTCTTTTTTTGCTGCAGGCAAGCAAAATCCACTGCTCTTTTGCTGCCCTTTCTTTGCTCTGTAGTGAATGAAGGGTTTCAGCTAAAGACATGATATCTCTAATGTGCCACTTAGCTATGCTGTGCATAGTTGGCATGGTGATCTGTTCCTTTCACCTCCTAGATAGTGTTGAGGGGGAGTCCTGATTTCCTTCCCAAGACTCCCACTTGAAAAGTGGTTGTTATTCTGCATTGCAAGTGGATACATAATGTGCTATCAGCTGTTATCCGTGGTCTCCCCATGTGTTATTGCTGGATCATTCTCTTCCTCAGGGGGTGCTAAATTTTTTTGACCTGAATCTTGCCATGAAAGTGTACAAAAGAAATTCAGAATTTGCAGACTTCCACTCTCTAAAGACTAAATTTGTGTTAATGCATACTATAAATATAATGTACTCTAAGCAAAGGCTTTCAAATGCAAACATCAGAGAAAATTTGTTTGATTTCAGCTGTGGCACTACATAAGTTCTCCATTTGTTTCTCCAGTTTTGCACATACAAGTGCTCCACAGAGAGAAAATTATTACTGAGCTTTCCCAAAATTATTTATCTGTGAGATTCTGCCTTGCAGCATACATAATGAGGAGGGGAAAAAAAAAATTCTGTTTGACAGTATTTTGTTGGTCTCATGCAGTGTAAAGAAAAGGCTTGAGGCCACTTCCTTTTGGAAGAGTGATGTGTGTATTTATAATGGTGGAACTACTACACACAGCTAATTCTGATCACCCTTCGTCATTATTTGCTGTGCAGAAAAGAAAATAGATGCAATCATTTTGTTAAAAAGCTGAAAGCAGAATAAGAAAAGTTGAAGGCAGTATAAATGCCCCACTGTTTCTAAGGCAGCAGGACAGTACAAGACTGTGCATTTTTACTGACAGTGCTTGGCACTGCACAGCATTGCATTTGTCCCACATTAGTTCCATGTTACTGTTTCCCATGTTGGAAGAGGACTGTGATGTTGAGATGTGATAGTGTTGACAGTGTGTAGCTGTAACGCTGAAATCAGAACAGTGATTCACCAGAATTCCTGAATAGTAATTGGTAACTGATGCTGTTGAAGGCACATATTATGTTGGATAGTATTTCCTGTATCTGTGCTAATCTGTTCATAGCCCTCTCTGAAACACACACCACTACAGTGTGGCCAACATCTTCCTTTTTAATTTCCACATTAGCTGGCATAAAATTTTTCTGCACTTCTTAAATATGCATGGATGTGCATATTTTAACACTTTATATTATTAATGCAAGTATTAATGTATTTGGGTAAGAGACTTAGAATGCTGAGTTAAACTCAGCTTTCTTTTCATATTCAGTAATTTGTATTTACATATTTTAGAAAGAAAAGTTGACCTAGAAGCATCTTCTGATCTTGAAGCACGAGTAGAGTGACTTCAAAAGAAAAATGCTTCTGAAAGGAAATCCACGCTTATCTATTATTAATATCAGGTTGAACTACTTTTAGTATTTAGAGAATACAGCCTGTAAGGGTGGGCTTTTGGGGCTGAGCTAAGCGGGTTTTAGGGCTGGCTGACCTCAAGAGGGTTGCTGTCCCCTGTACCTTTGTGCTGCCCGGGGTTTCTGCTGTGCCTGTTTCGTTGTCTTGGGCAATTCTGTGGTCCCTTGGTGAAACCATTTGTCCTCCTAAATTGGGAAAAGAAAAAAAACAACTCAGGAAAACAGGGTCCAGACATCGAATGGCAAAGCAGTGCAGGAGCATAGAGGAGCAGGGACCAACTCATTACCTGTGAAATCTTGCTCAGACCTGTTCTCTGTGGGTTTTTTCTTCTCTCCCCAGGTGATGCTCCTTTATGTGATTGAAAGTGGTTCTTTTATTTAGTTGCTGCAAAACACTTGGTTTCCTAATGGAAATACATAAAAACATTGAAATAAGACACACTATTGAGTTAAAGGAGGTAAGTATAATATAACCATGACCTTCAAATGCCTGCTCATGCAAATAAAGAGCATGGACAGTAAAAAAAAAACAAAAAACACTCATTAACTTAAACACACCCTGCTTTCTAATGGCCAGTATCTGTGTCAGAGGCTTAATTAGGAGCTAAAAAGCAAGGGAGATGCCTCTCCAATTTCTGTGGTCTATGTGTATAGGAAGGTGAAGATGTGGAGTTGCTGTAAAGCACCTCTTTGTGCTTTGGTGCTGTTAAGAAGGGCAGCTCATCGCTCCCAGGCAGGATTAGCAGCTCATGCGAGAGCTCTGGGAAGCCTTTACACTCCTGTTCCCTGCACAGCTGTTGGTGCTCGTGTTCTGTGCACACAGTTTGTAAAGACACATCTGCTGCTGCTGCTGTCTCCTCTTCCTGTTGTACTCCATGGGCAGAAACATTTGCAGGTATCATGGCAGGGCATGTCGGTTGTGACATCTGAAATAAGATGGATTTTGGGAGGCAGGTAAAATTTTCCTTCCCTCCAAATCAATGTTATCTGGACCCTGATTTTGCACAATTTTGCAACTGCCTGCTTTCTGCTTGACTGGAGAGACTAACACATTAACAAATTATTTAGGGCTATTTCTGGCCAGAACAAAAACATAATCTTGCCTTATTTGAAGTAATTCATACGGATTTTAAGAAATACTGTTTGTTTTTTACAAGAGATGATTTCACGCTTGATGGTACTGTGACCCTGCTGGATCTTTTCTGTAGAAAACAATGTATTTCATATTTCCAATTTTTTTTATGCTTTTGTCTGTTTTAAAAAAAACTACAGAAATGTATACCACTGATATGATAAAACTGCTTTGCAGCAGGAGTAAAAGGAAGAAATCTCGAAGGTGTAGCAGATCAGAGGGAAAAGATTTCCTCTAAATTTCTGAAAATGTATTTTTTGTGGTAATAGTGTTAATGCTTTTAGGGTTTTGCCTCCCCACCCCCATTACTAGAAACACACAATGATAATATCTTTGCTCTAACTTTCTTGCAAAGTATGGCCTTATCCTAAAGAAAAAATTGTTTTCAGGAACATCTTGTAATTGTATGATTTCCAGCAGCTAAACAATGAGAATGATGGATGTGCGTTGGAGGTTCTTTGCTGGGTTTGGCCACTAATGTGATTTCTGGCCACAGAGTCCCTTGTGATTGGAAACTCAAAATAACTCTGCAAGCCATGGATTCTGTCCTAGATTCCTCATACCACCAACTGGTGATTTTTTTGTGTGTGAAAGGATATTGTGTACAGGATTATTTCCCCCCCTGATGGAAGTGTCATTGCTCCTAGGCTGGAACATGCTCAGATTCACACAGTAAGGTAGTTAAGGAAGCAGCCAAATCCAGCTGGTTTTACTGATGGAATTTAATGTAGATACAGTTTGTTTCTGCACTGTGAAGTGAATCTATTCAGAAGGATGTCCTCCTACGAAAACTTCTATGGAATTTTTAATAGCCACAAGTGGTTGGAGCATTGTTTATACATCTTGTCTGAAAGCTGGAAAATGTTCCTGTAAATCATGTTTTTAAAAAAGGGAGCATGTAGGGGGAAAGGAAGAGAGAATAGCCTGAGAATGTCCGTTGAGGCAAATGTTCTGAGACAATCAGATTTGTTCTCAGAGATGAATGTATATTATTTTAAAGGCCAGAAGAAACATGTCTACCCATTTTGTGTATGGGTGAGGAAAGGTTTGTTTAGTTTTAAGCCTTGCATTGTGTAAATATCTTTACACTTGCAAGATGTTTCAAATGCAGCAAAATTAAATTCCATCTAATTGTTCTTTGCTTGGAATGCAAATACTGAAGACCACTAATTTGGGACTGACACAGAAGAAGGAAAATGTTTATCTTTATGAAACCAAGAAGTTAGCTGAGCAAAGAGAGTCAGAGTTTTTATTGCTTTGTAAGTGAGGTTACAGAATTAATGTTTTGTCTGTGTTAGATATTGTTAGATGTTTGCTTTCTGCTGGTTGTGGATATTTTACTGTGTCCTCTTGAGAGACTGAACTCTGAAGTCAGTTGAAGGGGTCAGGTGAGATTGCTTTAGACTTTGGCTGGTGACTGGCAATCGAAAGGCCAAAGTTAAACACAGGACTTTTGCTTCTTATGATACCATTGGAGAGCTGGAAAAGATTTAAATGTTACCACTGAAAAGGAGGAAGGTATCATGATTATGGACTTGGGAAGTACTAGATTTCTGTTTCCTATTATGGGATTTGCTCCTGGTTTTCACTAACGCATGGGAGCTTTCTTTGCAACCTGATCTGCAGTTCTTTCTCAGTCTCTAAAAGTTTTGGGTTTTTTGGTACTTGCTAGCTTAAAAATGCTTCATAGTGAGAGTTGTGTGATAATACTGTTCTTTGGATATTGTACTTGGGCTGTCCATAGTGGAGAATTACTTAACCAAGCGACATCAGAACTGATGCACAATACACTGATTTCTGTGCTGAGGTGCAATTGGTTTGTCTTCCCTAACATGGTGTAGTAAACAGAACTGTATTAAAAATGTGTTCCATTCCATGTTGCATTACAGGATGTTCATTTAAGTACATATAGTTCAATTACAAGAATTTAATTCTGTAGGCCAAGTTGGAATATATTAAGTATTTTTCTATTTTTTTCTATTGGTAGTAGGAGTAGTATTGCAACATATATGGTATTGTGTGTTTCTTTCTGTTTGGCCAAGAATATAATTTGTATTTTCAACAACTGTGTTCCTCATAAATAAAATATCAGTAGTATATTGACTTTCTCTTTAGAAGCTCTGAAGTTCAAGAAAAAAGAAATGCTCTCCCTGTAAGGTAAAAGATTTCACAGAAATAACTTATATTAGAACACTGTCTTTATTTAAAGATTAGAAGATAGCATGAAAGAATGCTGCAGCTGTAGCTTGTTCACTGTACTTGAAATGCTTTTGTTATTTTTCATTATTTAAATGTTCATGCTAACTCCTCCCATCCTGTCTACTTTGTGTTTAGATTGGTGAAAGAAAAAAACACAGAAGTGACTCGGAGAGGACAGCTAGAAAATTTGTTTTACCGAACGAATGCATGATATATGCTCCATGAGTAGTTTTGTGTGGAGGATTATGTGAACACAGGGTTGAAAAATAAGTGTTTGCTGGAGGCAAAAGGGTGGCCTTGGGAGGGGTCTGCCAGAGCAAATCATCTCTTACCATGTACCTGCAATGTTTGCTTAGATCTGTAAAGATGTTTTAATCCACCAGTGTGTGTTGCCCTCCTATGCTAATATTTCAAAAGCCTTAATTGAAATACAGAAATATTAGCTTTTGTTTTAAGAGAGAGTTGAAAGAGCAGGGAGAGTGGCCATAAAGTCACAGCCTCCTGGAGCAGACACCTTCCAGGCTGTAATGCCACATGAAATCTCTTCAGAAACCTTTTTTGCTAGACAATCAGCAGAAGGATGATAATGAGGCAAACATCTTCAGTATCACACAGAGGCCAATTCATGTGACTCCAGGACAGTGCACTTGGGAGTGATCCTGGCGAGTCAATCGTCCCTTTCTGTGCTGGTGGTGTGAGGGAAAGGAAAATACTGTCTATACCAAGAGTTTCCAGAAGTTGAGCAGTACTGTAACTCCCACTCAGTTATATCCTTACTCTTCTATTCTTATCTAAAGATACTGAAATATTTTGGCTCTGATATTTAAATATCGTTATTTAAAGATGTTGCATTAATGTCCGGTTTTATCTAAGTGCTCTCCAAGTGCAGAATCTTCTTTTTCAGCAGACTGCTTGTCTTGTATCTGGCAGATAAATACTTGATGTTATTTTCTAATGCAAAATGTAGTCTGACTCCATTTAGCTTTTTTCCTTTCTGTCTAACAGCATCATTAATTATACCGTGAGTCTTGTCTCTACTGTGGCTGTGATCAGAGGAGAGGAAAATACAGCAGACAGTATTTGGGTGCTGTAGGAAGACACTGAGGTGTTTGATTTCTGTTTTTTTGTGGGTTGCTTGAGCATAGAAAACTGTTACAATTCATGTTGATTCCAAAAAAGCAATTTCACTTGTTCCAGATATTCCAAATCTGTCCCAAGGAGCCTTCACTGTGTAGTAGAGTAAGGGAGAAGAAACTGCAGTAGCACTCAGTATTGTGTGGATTTGGGAAGGGGTTGTGGTAGTGACTTATCCAGAGGATTTGTAACTCTTCTTGAAGAAAAAGAAACGCTATCTATGAATTCTAAATATTTATTGCTTCAAGATGATTTTCTGTTTGAGGTTTGATTACTTTTTCTATCTCCAGCGAAGGTGGGAGTTACCAAAATGTCTTGCTGCAGCAGAGTTAAAAATTTAGCATCTCTTACTGCAACTGTAAAGCTGCAGTGTAATTTCATCTACAATACTGCAGAAATGCTTTAAAGATATCAGAATGTGCTTCCTAACTAAGAGAGTGATTATATGTGGTTTGCCTTTTTTATAATCAACATTGGGTAGCAGTATTAATTTTTTCGTCAGTGCTCAGCTAGTTGGAATATTTGTGGTGTGTTTATGTACATAGTGTGTGTATAGTCATTAATTCTCTGTGGTTTAGGATCTTGGAGTAAACATATAATGCAAAGATGTGATGTAGGGATGTGTATTTATAAGGTTTGATGTGGAAAGAATCCTACCGCTATTTGCATGCAAGAAATTTTTGGGAGAGGGTGGCTTTCTGATGAGATGAAGAGAATAAGCAGGTAAACATATTGAAGTCTGGTATTTGTTCTACAGAAGACTGTCATTTCCTAAACTGAAAGTAATTTAATCATGTTTGTATCTGGAGTAGTTAAATGAAATCATTTGCCATAATTACTTCATGTCTAACAAGGTCTGTCGCCATTTGGATTTTGTAATGATTCAGATCCTAAAAGGAAAGGAGCTTAACCACTGGATGTTGAAATAATCAATATATTTCATTATTAGGATTTAAATAGATGCTCTGTTCCAAATGTGTGTTTAAAACTCTCCTCTCAAGCTGACTTTTCTCTGTAATCCTGTAGCTATAGTCTGTTATGTGTGTATAGGACATAAAGCAGTGGCCTTGACCATCCCAAATGACTGCATTTGTTGTCTCTTACATACCTTATTCATTATTTTTGTTGTTCCATTTTACTGAGCTGGAAGGAAAAGCTGTTTTATAATTAAGGAACGATTTCCAAGGAATTGAGTAGGATTAGAACTGTTAATATAGAATTGTTGCACTGGAGGTGAATATTTGTAGTTGGTGTCTAGTGCTGTACAAATGAGCAGAAGTAATCTCTGTCCAAAGAAGTTTCTTGCTGGGGAACATCTGATTGTTCAAGAGAAGCAATGGTTTTATGCTAATGATTTTTGGAGTTTGCTGATTGTCAGACACAGACTCAGGGTGAGGCTGGGATGAGTGACAGACACACATTTGCATCCTCAGTAGCAACCAATTTTTATCAGCACCAGGATGCACATCTTGTGTATAGCATTGGCTATTCTTGGGCTTTTTTCCTCTGGAAGATAGTAATATCTTCTGAATCATAATTAATTTACATGAAGAATTTTGATATGATATTATAGAATTATATCTCACTTGAATTTGGCAATTAAGCTGTAGAACCAAATCTTGCCTCATCATGTGGTAACAAGATTCCTTTGACTGCGTGTTTTTCTTTTGGAAGATAATTCTGCCCATAGTCATTCATTCAGTTACCTTACTTAGGATTTTTATAAAGCAGATAACAAATATATTAGATTTAGGTTTCGTTTGTGTTGCTTGTATTTATTTGTTTTGGGTTTATTTCCTGAAAATTATGTAAAAGAAATGTCCTGATGTTTCATATAAGCTTATTTTTCCTAATCAGTTTATTAAGTTTTCTGTGATGATGAGGTATGTTTGCAAATGCTAAAAAATTGTACATTTTGCTCCATTCCAGTGCCTGATGACCTCTCCATGGAAGAAAGAGAAGAGCTTTTAAATATTCGTCGCAGGAAAAAAGAACTGATTGATGATATTGAGGTAATTGATTTACTGTAAAGATCCTTAGAAGACTCCTTCAGTAGATTAAGTTACAGAGTTAAGCTGCAGACCTAAATATGAATTTCAGGTAATGGTTTGGAAAGCATAGAAACTACTTAAACTAAATATTCCCGATAGTGAACAGGACTTATGCATTATATGTGTGCTTTTAAAAATATTAACTTCTGAATTTATGCAATGCAATATATGCAGATGTCCACATTTGATTTGTGTAATCAAAAACTCATTAAATAGCAGATTCACATCCAGGATAGGAGTGAGTGAGAAATGTGGGTAAAGAAATCCTATTGAGTGATAATGGCAGTTTGGTCCTGGTGCTGTGGCATGAGCACACACTGAGAGTGCAGGTTCATGTGCTTAACAGTCATTCATTATAATAAAATCTTTAAATATCTAAGGAAGCCCTAAGATTGTTCACTTTTCTTCAGGTAAATAACAAATATTAGGAAATAAAATCTATTTGATCATATTATTATATGATAGATGATTTCAAAAGATGTTCTAATGTAGATTAATGTATTGTCCTTCCTTCTTTTGACAGAGATTAAAATTTGAAATTGCTGAGGTTATGACTGAAATTGATAATCTAACTAGTGTGGAAGAAAGGTAAGTAATGCCAACATATGGACATGATTCAATGAGACCTTGGAACAGCAAGTGAAAATACCTTTCCCATGCAAAACAAATAGTGGATTACCTTTATTTAGTCTGTTCTAAAGCCTGACTTTATCCCATGCAGGCGTGTCATTTGTTTGGATAGAGAATATGTTGGATAGAGTGTAATATTTTACTGTCCAGTTGATAAGGATATGGGTCTCTGAAGCTGCAATTTGTAATGATTAGCGTCATAAATAAAATAGCATCATAATTTCCTCCATTATAAAAAGCAGATGTCTTGATTTTGTAGTAGAAAATACAAAGTAGCAAAACACAAATTGAAAGTTCATCTAGAAGTCTTTTTGTAAAAGAGTGACTGGTAAGTGCTTGTTCTTTCTTCTTTGTCTCCGTATGTAGCAAAACTACACAAAGAAATAAGCAAATAGCCATGGGAAGGAAGAAATTCAACATGGACCCTAAGAAGGTAGAGAATTTTCTTTCACTTGTCAGGAATCAAGTTTGTGCTTGTAGTACAGTCTATGGCAAATACATCTGTGGATTTTTAAAGAAATATTTCTGATAATGTTAAGTTCCTCGGCCTTACTTGCATGTCCTGTAACACACTGAGCAGAGGGTTAAGCTGGAAGCAGCCATCAGCTCAGGTGCCCGTTGCATGCTTCTTTCACTTAAACAAAGCCTTGATAGTGGAGGTCACTTATCAACAACCAAATATGCCAGGTATTGATTGACCTGGTTTGCTCTGTACCTGATAGAGGTCTTCTCTGTTGATATGTCAAATATAATTAAATTCTTTTTTTTATATGTGGTTGTTAGTGAGGTCATACTTCTTATTCTTTAATGCTCTCCTATTTTTATCTTTCAAAATACCTTTGCCATGTTTTTTAATTTGTTCTCATGCAGATATATTTGGATAGTGGATATATAATCCATTCTATTTGGATTATATTGTATATTATATTTAGATATCTAAAACCTGTTTCTGAAAAAGGCATGTGTGAATATCTGTATTTTTGTATATACACATATACTTGTAGATGTGTTCCTATCTGACTTTCATAAGCTTGGTTACCAGTTTCAAGAAATGTGCTCTACATGTAGCCAGGAAGTAATGCAGTTCTTTCTGAAGTGTTTCTCTGTTTCTTAAATAGTTGTTAATTTTCTGGAAAATTTGGGGACCTGCACATTCTCTTACAGACCTCCCCTGCAATATTTTAAGAGAGCTTCTTTGACATGTTTGACCTTTAGCTTCTGCTTTTCATATTTCATCTTCCTTGCTGTGTTTTATTGTCTTCTATTGTTTGTAATTGAGATTCCATTTTGAATTTGCGAAGAGTGTTCTTTAAGGTCTTTTTGGAAATCATTTAACATTTGTTTTTCTGTGTTCTTGACATATTTTCTTTCCTATTGTGTTGAGTTCAGTTACATTTTGGTGGCTTTTCTGAAATGTTTCAAGTACAGTGATGGCTTCTGTTCTTCAAAATGTTTCCAGTTTGCCAGAAATTCTCAAGTTCAAGGACTCTTTCTAAACCACTGCCCATATCTTTTATATTTATTTTCCATTTTGGTGACTGCTTAAACTTCTGTTCTGTTGAGGGCAGAATACCCCCAAATATCCTGGTAGTTTCCTGTGGTCCTCTAGCTCTTTCAAGTCCTGGAAGTTTGTGGCAAAGTCACAGGATGATGCCAGACGCTTTCATTCCAGCATTAACTATTTTTTGTTATGGTCCTTGCTGGATGAAATTATTTCTATAAATAAATGCTGTGGCCACATTGCTACTGTAACATCATTTAAATGTGGTGAACAGACTTAGAGTAGTAATTTGTTAATAATGCCTGTGATCAGTGGTGGCTGTCTGCTCTGAAGCTGGGCCGTGGTGTTGTTGGCAGCTGCCGTGTTCAGTTACAGACAGCTGCAGTTCACATCCTTCTGGTGCTGGGAAAAGCTGCCTGGGACTCACTGGGAAAAGGATGGTTTTCATTCAGAAACAGGAGGGAAGATGGTCTCTGGATTTAGGAATGCCAAAGAACTGGGGTAAAAATACTTGAATTGAACCCACTAAGTCTCCTCCTTTAAAACCAGATAACAGAGGTCTCATGTTTTCATATTAGCAGGAACACAATGAGATCATTTTCTTTCATCACTTCTATTTGAATACACACCTATGTGTACGTAGAGCAATTTCCCCTTGCCCCCTCTGAAAATAGGTGTGTTTTCTGTACTTCCATGATGTTCTACCTGGGGGTTTGGATTTGGTGAGCTCGTGTGGGAAGGGCTGTAATGGTAAAGTTGGTAAAACACTTCAAGAATCTGTGTGCAGAAACAAAGTTGTGCTGGAAATTTGCTGTGCTGAAGTTGGTACTGCTTGTGTTGGGCCCAGGAAACGAATGCTCTGTGACAAAGGCAGGGTTTAAATAACTGCAAAATTTATAATTGAGTTACCATAAAAGTGATGCAATTCAAAGCAGATTTCATTGCAGTGATGTAATAAAAAAATATAAATCCATGCAATATTTGTAGTGAATATGGAAATGTCTGTAGCCATGAGTTTTGTGTGAGTAAGTTAAACTGGTACAGCTGTCATCTGTCTCCTGTCAGTCTACAGAAAGAAAATTTGCATCAAGACAAAAGATAGTGTAGGAGGTGATGGGGGTTTGCTTGGCCTATTTTGCCTTTTATTCCAGACGCTGGAGTTGTTGTCCCAGACAAATTACTTTTCCTGTAGGTTTGACTTCTGGTTCTTTAACATCTTAGGAAAATTAAAAAGAAAAAATCCAGGAAAAGGAAAATTAAATTGATTTTTGCAGTATGGTAAAGTGTCTGCTTCTGTGCACAGAAATTTGTTTTCCATACTTCAAGTCATGTCCATTATCAGTAACTTGTACAACTTCAAAAAAAACCTGTTCAGATCAGTCTGTTTATACTAAGCATAAATAATATGGTCCAGGTGTTGAACCAAAGGAATGTGCTATTTCTGATACCAGATGAAAAATTCTCTTTTTGATTGTCAGAGAGGAGAGCTTTGTGTATAACTTGGGATGGGAAAAAGAGCTATATTTTGTAGCCAAATATTGTACAAATAAGCTTTGAAGTGATCAGTTTTGAGGAAAGCTCAGCAATTTTTGGTTAAAGGTGTAATGGATATATTCTTTGCAAAGAAATCACATCTGTTGTGAGATGACTTATCAAAATATTAAGTTGTCAGAGTACCAGCCTGGTATCGAAAATTTTCAGATGATGGTGAAATTGTTCTGAGAGAATTGCATTCCAGACTTTCTAAAGAAAGCATAAAGCTTTGTAACATCACCATTTACTTTCCCTGTTAAATTAGGTCAGAAAATTGACCTTTTATTTGTCAAGCAGGTAACCATTTTATTATTAAAAACTAGAATTAATCTAACAGAAGGATAATATTTTTTTTTAATATTTATAGAGGGCCATCTATGCTATAAAAAAAGGATTTTTTCAGTTGTAATGCAATAAATAATACTCCACTTGCAGAAATTGAAAAACTAGTATTCTTGAAATTCTGAGATAGTCTAGTATAGGATACTAGTAATAATTTATTAGCCTCTTCTGTACATATCTGGAATACACGACATTAAGGCTGCTTAAAGTTTCCATTTCTGCTTTTCACCAGCCATATTATTAGAGTTTGAAGAACTCAGCAGGAGTAGCAGCATCTGTGTTGGGGTCTGTGGGCTGTACAGAGGATGGTTATCCCTGCATGACCTGCTCAGAGTCAAAACAACATCCCTTCCATCCTTTCCATAATCTCTGTATAACTCTTAGTCTCCTTTCTTTGCCACTTTCCAGAGAAATCTCTGGGCTTCCCTGGCTTGTGCCAGTTGTAGGGCAGTAATTTATGGAGGATAGGACTCCTGGGTCTCCATCAAGTACCCTCTGAGGACAGGGTAAGACTCTACCTGCCTTGGGTAGCAGCTGACTGAGCAGCCCTTTGTGAGTAGTGTAGCTCCAGTCCTTTGTGAGTAGTTTAGTTCCAGCACAGCCAGAATTCACTGATAATCCCAATGTCAGCATAAACTCTTTAAAACTGGTTTCAGTATCTTCAGCTGTGACTTCCTACTGCAAGTAGTGGCTTGATGTATTGGGTTGCAGTTTGTAGATTGTACCAGATGCTTTATTTTGTGTCATGGTGGTAATTAAGTTGTTTCTACGTACCTCTTCATTATATGATTTTGCAGATTATGGCTCTGCAGACATTGATGCAATGTTGGGAACAGGCCAGCTCACACATTAGCTCCAAAGATCAACATGAAATCATTATTCAATTAATATTTGATCTTTCAAATCAAATATTTAGGGTTGAGGGATTCAAACTGCCACCTTGTACTTCTAGCCTTAAAAATGTGTTCTCATTTTCATCTTAAAACCAGTACTAAATATTGCTCATCTAACTGAAAAACATTTGTTTACCATTTTATTAAAAGGAATAAAAAATCTGTTGGTAATGTAACTCTTAATATGCCATGTATATGTCTGTGTCAGTATATTAATACTAAATGTTACCTGATATTTACTTAAATGCTTGTAGAAGAAGACATTACATTCCTTTTCCTCTGGAATTTCTTTTCCTAGGGAATACAGTTCCTGATAGAAAATGACCTCCTGCACAACACTGCAGAAGACATTGCACAGTTCCTTTATAAAGGAGAAGGATTAAATAAAACGGTAATTGGAGATTACCTCGGTGAAAGGTAAAGTAGAAATGTTGGAACTTTGCTCTTGAGCTTACAAAGCACTTTTACAGGTTTTGGGTAGTTCCCTTCACAGGCTGCAGGTGAGAGCTGCTCGAGTACTCTGAGATCCTTAAAAGCTACAGGGGAGATGTAAAACTGCTACAGTATTGTGATAGGTTTTTTTCCTGTTAGGTTGTTATTTTTTAAATGGGTACATTATGGAATGTTATTTAATTAACTATAATTTAGTATAATGAGTAAACCGAAACATTTGTCTGTAGTGCAGAATTCAATACCGTGAGCTTTTGGAATGCCTGAGAGTTGTGTTGCAACACTCCTGGTAACTCTTAGTACTGTGTCCAGAGGAGGAGTGATTTACAGTCAGTAATAATTGGACAGTAAAGGAATTAGTTATTAAAGCAGCTACTTCCTGGGACAGTGGCTGCAAGCAGGTTTTGGTGTTGTCACTTCCCTGCATGCACACGTTCCATTGCTAAGCAGGTGCCTCCAAGGGCAGCTGCACCCTGTCCTTATCAATCCTGCTACAATAAACCTGCAGTGTGCATATTTATGCACAGTGTTGCAAAACACAGTCAGAATGCAAATGACTTCCATTGCTGTGTAAGCCAAGAATTGATTTTAAAAGGCAGCTGAGAGAGGCAGCAGTGCAGTGGGTTGGAGTGTGTGTATGTACATGCTGGCACATGTTCCAGTGGCACTTAGGGAGCTCTCAGAGGTGACTCATTTAGGATGTGCTCCTGTGGTGATGGGTTGTGGCAAGTCTCTTTTGAGACACTTTTCAGGCTGGTTCCAGCAGCAATGGCATGGTTTTTGCTTAGCAGTTTCCTCTTGGCTTTCATAGGTTCAGTGAAAGTTTTTACTGTAATATGAGTATTTTAAAAATAGATCTTTGTTTTGAAGTCCCTATGCAGAATATGTAGACATGTCAACAGTTTTTATACAACAGAATTATGTCTGAGGCCATTCTCTTGTGCTTTGCCACCCCCTCCCACAGGCCCATCATAAATTACTTCTGTATTCTAGCTAAATATAGCTGGAGACAAGACCAGGTTAGTCAACTAACTGAAATATTTATATAACATTCTGTCATAAAGAGACAGATTCTATATTACTTACTGTTACAGTCTTACAGCACTCAGCAAACTGAAAAAGTGAATGGTGAAATGGAATAAGATAACACTTAAAAATATAGCAGAAATTAAAACAAATAAGGGATGAATTGCATTCCAAAAAAAGAGTTATGGTTTTTTTTCTATGCGGGTAGGTCTTCAGTTCTTTTTTTAAGTGGCTTCCTGGAGCATTTGTGTTATTTATCTTGTGTCTTTGGAGGTGTACCCAGCACAAGTACTCTATAAACAAAATAAATAATTTGCTTAACGTAGAAACATACCCCTCTATTATACTCTTTTATTGCACTCTCATGCCACTTAATTGAAAAGCAGTTGCCCAGTTAAATTGTACATTGCTAAATTTGATGAGAATTGCTTGGATTTGCTGACAGGACTGGTGTGTTTTTCTGTAAACAATGTGGGAACATGCTAATGAATGAACAGTTGGTTTTAAGGTATTTACTCCTGAGTTGCAGGTTAGTCTGACTATGCAGTTAGTCAGCAAAGCAACAGATAATTCCTGGTGGGTGCACACCTTTCTATTTTTGGGTGGAGGCTGATACACAGCATTCTGTGTTGGTGAGGTATTTAAAGCACACCCTGAGGTTTATAAACCTTTATTCTTCTGGCACAGCAACTCAGTGATGGCGTAGGCCAAGTTCTGTCCATCCACATAGTTTTTTGTTCGTTAATGTTTAAATGTTACTTTTGAATTTAAACACCCTTGCATCAAACAAAGCATGCATTGGCTCATGATCTGCATACCAATACAGGAGAAGGGTAAGAGGAAGCCCATTCAAAACCTCTCCTGATTTTAGTTAACTTTGCTGTACCAACTCTTGGGAATGGAGTAAGAGTACAGTACATGCCAAGTAGCTCTTTTCAAAAGCTGCTCTTTTTCTTGGATGCAATCAATAGAAGCATTTTGGTTTCTTATCTCTGTACATAAATTAAGATACTGCTTTAATATTTTCTGTTCTTAGAGTAGAAAAAAGAGTTTGGTTGTATGTTTTATGGCTAAAGAAATTACTCTTGAATTAACCATTATTTTAAGAATTCATGACAATTTCTGCAAAAGGCTTTTTACTGAATGAATTTCTCAGACATCCTCCTATGTCAAGGCAGGTACAGTAATAATAAATGTGAAGCAAAGAAGGCACGGCTATTATTAGGGTATTTAAAAGAGCAGTTCTAAAATAAGTTGAAATGTTCTGGCTTTTGCTGACCTACCAGCGAAAATTGGCAAAGTACTACTGTTAAATATGAAAATACCTCTCAATGTGTAGATTATTTCTGATGGCTTTATTTGATCAGTAGGATTGTTTATTTCTTTATTTATTTTTGGAAGTGAATCGAGATAACTAACAAGTCTTTAAAGGTCAGAATTGTAATTGTCTATTTCTATTTTTGTCTTTCACAGAGATGAATTTAATATTAAAGTTCTTCAGGCTTTTGTTGAACTCCATGAGTTCGCTGATCTCAATCTTGTACAAGCCTTAAGGTGAGTAAATTCTTTCTGTTTTTTGACCTGAGCTTCCTCTATCAAATTGCATGTTTATATGAGTCACTGTGTTGATTTATTTGTCAGAAAGCTGCTCTACAGCTCAGCACAACTGTACAAATTACTGTGCAAGTGAGCAGAGACAGCTCTGTTTAACCCTTCTGATGGCTTGTGTGTGTGCTGCCTTGAGGGTGAAAACTCCTGGGAATTTCAGACAAATACAAACAACTAAAACAGCTCTTACTCCTTGGTGTGCCTGCCCTATGTGGACATTTGAAGACCTGTTTTGTATCTTAGCACAGACATAGGTTAAAAAAGAAACTCTTTACTTAAATAAGTAATTTTCTTCCTCCTTTTATTCCACCCCGACTTGTCCTTCTGGGCAAGGAGGGGGAGAAATTCTCTGACTGTAGTCACTGATTATGTTCAGTCACAGAGAGGTAAACTTTGAAACAAGTGATTTCCTTCTGCTTGCCTCAGTTTCCTACTTGTCATGTGAAAGAAAGTGTAATAGCTTAGTTTATTTTTTCCCTTGCTACATGAACAGTTCTCTCGATTTATCTGGGATGCTTGCATACCCTGACCTTGTGAGATCCCTTCTCATCTTGATGAAAATCCGTAACAGATTGATCAAATTAAGTTGACTTGGACAGTTCTGCCTGGGTTTTTTTTCTGAAGTGACTCCCTCCTGACACCAGATAAATGGAAATGTCCGTGTGATCTTTGTTTCTGGTGCAGTGCCTTGTGATGTGGAGTCAGAACAGCTTTGCTATGGTTGAGTGATGTGGTGATGATAACTTGAGCTGCCTGAGGCTTGGGCCAAAGAAGCCTTTTCTGTGGCTGCTGAAGCTTGTCTGGGAAGCTTCCTATTCCTGTCTCTTTTACCTAATTTGATGTTAGGTTTAACTTTATTCTTCCTTAGCAGCTGCTACTATTAAATGTTTGTATTTTGGTAGCTTACAAAATTCGTGATCTGGGTTGGAACCTTGCACGAGGTGAGTAAAGACAGTACATAGAGCTGACAAACTAAGGTGGCCTGTGACACTTGAATATAATGTCCTAAAATGAAAACCGATGAAGATAGGAATAAATGGTTGTTATATTGGCATCCACTGTACAGGGAGTAGTGAGAACTTGTTTTGCATGGCAGAGCATGTAACTTTGCTGGTTTAGATCCTGGTTTAATTCAGATAATTCTTTTGTTAAGAGATAAAAGAATAAATTATGAAATTCATTGGAACATTTTAGTGCCACAGTGTGCCAAAATAAATTTGTGAAGACTTCTGTCCTGTATGCATTCCAGTGTACTCTATGTAGAAATAATAAGTTACAAAAGTGAACTCTGCATTTCAGTTTATGCTGCTAAGCAGCAGCAAGATCTGCTGCATATATTGCAAAATTACTGAAATGATGACATGAGTTGTTCTTTTTAAGGCCTAGGTCTGATTCTTGTAGGGTGAGCTTACAGTAGACAGGCAGCACCTCTCTAAGCAGTGGGCTTTTCTTCTGGTTGTTACAATTTTTTTGAAAGGTTTTGTATGAATTGAAGTAAATATGTTAAGTCCTTTTGTATTCCTTGTTTCTCTCTCCTTACACCAGAAATGTTTTGCATAATGTGTCTTATTACATTGAGAATAAAGTCTAGCTGACTGTTCATTGCTTTTTGTAGCCAGGAAACCCAGGGAGGATTGAACTCATTTTTTTCCCGCATAGCATTCTCATGGCAAAAATGGGATGCATACAGAAAATTGTTTACTAGTCTGGAAAAAAGAGAGAGCCTCAGAATATGAACTGCCATATTATCTTGCCTGATAGCATGCAGTGTTGCTGGCTGAGTTACTGGGCTAGCCATCTGTGCATGTTGCTTTATAATAGCTCCTGACTTGTGTGTTGAGAGATTGAGAACATATTTCTAGGACATTCTATATAGACAATGCTGAGTTTTTTTCTGTTTGTTTCGGGTTATTTGTAATAAATATTAAATATATAAATACTGGAATGAGTCCAACACTATTCTTCCCTTCTGTAGGCAGTTTCTGTGGAGCTTCAGACTCCCAGGAGAGGCTCAGAAAATTGACCGTATGATGGAAGCTTTTGCTTCACGCTATTGCCTTTGTAACCCAGGAGTCTTCCAGTCTACAGGTCAGTCACAGGAAACCACAGGAGTTCTGAAGTACTTGTATAATCCAAATATATATTTTATATATAGAGAGAGAGAGTGAGAGAGGTATATGTATATATATGTATGTGTGTGAATGTTCTGCTACATCTGATGACAGGACATAATGGCCAGTTAGGAGTAAAATAATGTGTGAAATGAGAAATACCTGAGAACTGAGAAAATGTGATTGTCTAATCCAGGAGATGCAAACTTAATGGTCAGAATGCATTTTCATTTATAAAACATCACAGAACTGCACAGAATGCCCTGGCATTGCTGTTCTGTTTGGTTATATACACAAATAGATTGCTCTTGATCACTTAATTTAAGGAACAGATAGGATGGGAAGAGGTTGGTGTAAAGTGGGTCTGTGACAGCTAGAGAGGAAAATAGCTACTGAAAACAAAGTGCTGAAGATGCAGGCACATTCTTCCTCTCTGTAGCAGATTTTCATCCTGCTTTTTCTTACACATAATTTTGTACTTGAATTCCAGGAGAATTTACTATAATCATAACCGTGTCAAGAGGCATAAAATCTACTTTGTCATCTTCTGATATTATCCAGTAGTGCTAGCTACCTCCTGTATGCCAAGGAATTGAGTCAATGTCATTTTCAGTCTTTTTAAATGTAGTCAAAATATTATTTTGAAGAGTTCATTCTTTCTCTTTGGAGAGAGCTTTGGAAGTACTTTGAGTAGGAGGAGGCTGATGGACCAAGTTTATTATAGCATCCACCACTATGATTTAGGCAAAATCTGTGCAGAGAACATTTTGCCCAACACTTCAACATTTCAAGTGAAATGTTAATTTAGGGTGATAGCAATGATTTCATAAGAATTTAAAACTTTTGGATTCTCATGCAGTTTTTCTTATACTTGTTTTTTGTTTGAACTGTAGCATTTTTTTTCTTCTTGGACTTACTTCAGCAGCTTAAGGATTTTAGACTTTTATATACAGTGTTCAGGATTTTTTTACTGTTTCTTTTTCTTTATCAGTCAGGATGAGCTTTATACTAATTTTACAGGTTTGTACACACAACACATGGGAAGATAAAGCATTTTTCAAATGTGATTTCAGATACATGTTACGTGCTTTCATTTGCCATCATTATGTTGAATACCAGCCTGCACAACCACAACGTGCGAGATAAACCCACAGTGGAGAGATTTATCTCCATGAATCGAGGAATTAATGAAGGTGGAGACCTTCCAGAGGAATTGCTAAGGGTAAGTTGGGCTGGGTAAGACAAAGCCTGGATTTGTGTTTTTAATAGCAGACTTGAAAGTGTGTACAGGAGTTCTCAAGCAAATTTGTAAAGAGGAGGCAAAAGAACAAAGCATGTAACCGTGTGTAACCATTGGAGTAGCTGAAAGCAGCATTTTTTGTTATTCACAGCTACTTTGAGCTAGTTCTCCCTATATCCAACCTTTTGTTGAGAACATGTTTCAGAGAAGGTGCTCTGTGTATCTCTCCATAGTTTGCTTATGGCAAAATTCTTGCAGAATTGGCTTCTTATGAAAAAAAATAGTATTTCTAACAGAAAAAAATAGTAAAAATTTTCTTCATATTTGCCTTTCATTTTTCCTTCATGTCTTGTGAAGCTCCCTCCTTGAGAAATTAATAAAAATAACTGCTGTAAGACGGTGTTATGGGCTACACTGTTTACTGAAAATCCAGATTCAATGGCAAAACTTGTACTAAATGAAACTGATCTTGAAATCTTTGAAATACTAAATGCTGAAGTTAAAATTGTCATTGCTAGGAATGCATAATAAATTTTACTGAAGAGAGACTTGCTTATGGATGAAGTAGTTTGATTTTAAACTTGATCAAAGTAATAAATGAAGATTGACAGGGGGTGGTTCAGAATTTTATGGACAGTATTTCCATAATATGTGCTATATCTAATAGTCTGAGAAGCAGTAAGATTATCCTGGTTGCATTTTCTGTTAAGACATTTATTAATGAGGTCTTTTTCCTCTTTTATTTTTCTAGAATTTATATGAAAGTATTAAGAATGAGCCATTTAAAATTCCAGAGGATGATGGAAATGATCTAACGCATACATTTTTTAATCCAGATAGAGAAGGTTGGCTGCTGAAATTAGGTTAGTCACAAGGGCAGTTCTGCTGCTGTGTGTTTGTTCATTGTTAGCATGTTTGCTGCTCCGTGTCTTCCTGCTTTCTTGTGAAGGTAACAGGTTTAACTTTGTATTTTAAAATGTATGAACCAAAATAAGTAGCTCCTTTACATCTGAAGGCTGTTGCTTCTTATTTTGCATACCCAAATTAGCAATCTTGCTTCAAACTTCAGAGTTTTATTTCTGAGATCTGAGAAATAAAAACTCGTCGACAAAAAGGAAACACCACATGGTATTTACCACATGCTGTGACTGATAAATAACAACTAAGTCTCCATAAGGTCATTTTAGAAAACTGTGTGATGTTTCAACACAGTTTTCTGTGTACAAAAAAAGGATTTCTCTTCAAATAGTTATTTTTGTATGTCTTTATTTTTCCATATTATTTGTGAGTTTCTCTTGGTTTGGTTTTGGCTATGATTTTTTAATGAGTGGTTTAAATGTGCCTTCTTGTTTTCCTTATGGCCTATGACCTATCACCTTTCTGTTCTGTGACTGGCTGTCTCTGCTTATTCTGCATTAGGAGGTACGTATCTGATTGCTTTCCAGTCCCCTCTTCTTCAGTTGCTCATTCTTTTATTTTCTTCCTCCTTCCTCCTGGATTTTTCTTTTTTCTTTCTTTTTTTTTTTTTTTCAATCAGATTCGTTGTAGCATTTTGCTTTTTCACTCAGTGTCACTAACAGTGTCATCAGTGGTGCTCTGAGGGACTGGCATGTCAGTGTCTGACTCACATGCAAGTGTATTCTGCAAAAGAAGAAAGTGCTTACATGCAAAGCAGAAAAATAAGGATGACTTCAGCACACTTTTCTCATTCATGGAAGAACATAACAAGGGAAGAATAATCTCTACTGAGAGTAAATAACATATCTTATTCTGTCATGAAGTTTCAGAGTGTTTTTGACATTTGCTAATCAATGATAATAGATTCTTGAAACATTGATTACATTTGAGCTACGTATTTGTAAAAGCTCTTTTTCCTTTTTAAAAGCTTGTTTTCCTTTTAAGATAATATATTTAGCTTATTTAACAGGGTCTTAAATGAGCTTCAAATTTAGGGTTGCAGAAACCTCAGATAGTTCAGTCTCCTGGCACTAGAAGATGCCTTTGTTTTTACAGGCTCTTGTAAAGTTGAGTTTACTTTTTTGCTTGGCCTTAGAGAATTATTTTCCTACATAAAGGACACAGATACTCTGTTTCAAGAGTTATTTTTCAAAACAATAATTTAAAAAAATTTAAACACCGGCACACACTTCACTAGAGCCAGGTGTTGGCCACTTTAACGTGTAAAGTGGAAGGAACTTTGGTAACTAAAGTTTGGAAAGGGATGTGTGCTGGGGTGCACATAGGGAGGATGGTGACAGTAGAGCCTGGATAGAGCCATGAGCCCACTCTGCTGATTGCACCTGGAGCTCAGTGGTCATGCTTGTGCTGGAAGGAAATGGATGTGAAAAGGAAACATTTGGAATTCATTCACATGCTCCCCAGTGTTGAATTCTGACCTCTCTGCTACAGATGCTGTGGAGCTCCTTGTCTAACTACAAAGAAGCAAAGCTCTTGCTTTTTTTGACCTGTATTGGCTCAGCTGGCAGAATTTCAGACATGACTTTGCAGCTTTTCTCCATTTGGTAGTGTGAGATGATGGTTAACAGAAAAGCCTTTCAGGCTGCTCTGGGTGGAATGTGCTTCTTGCAGAAGAGGTTGAGTGTGAGGCCATTCTGTGCCTTTGCTGTTGCCAGTGCTCCCTCGTGGGCTTCCACTCGTCATGAGAGTGCAGGCAAGTGTGAGTGTGTGTAGAGGAGTGACAACATCCTCTGTGGAAGAAACTGCCCGTAAAAGAGATCTCATAAAAAATAGAGGAACAAAGAAATTGAGGAAGTGATGACTGAAAGTAAGTGAAAGCTGCCAGGAACTTCTGCACAGTCTGTCTCTGGCTCTGGTGCAAAGTCAATAAACCACAGGACTGAAAACTCTGCCTGAGTCTTCGGTGTGTAGGATGCAGATGAGGCACAATGCACAGAAAACCCAGTAGTAAAAGGGTGTGTGAAGCAGAAGGGTGTTACACATAACACTCCCACGATATGAGGGTTATTTGAATAAAGAAATGAAATGTGTCCAGAAGCCTCTGGTGAATCAGCCTGGGAATGCCTGGAGCTGTGCTTCCATGTAAGACTGCATTTTTCAACAGACACAGACTGGTACAGACTAATACACTGCTGGTTTAGATGCAATGACCAGAAATAAACTTGGCAGTCTTTTTTTTTTTTTCTTCCCCTTCCTTTTATTTCTTTCCTCTCCTTTGAGTTTCCTATTTGCTAGGACTATTTAACTGTATGTTGAGAATGCTGTCTCAATCCACATAGTTTGCATTTTTACAGTACTTTCTCTTGGGAATTACTTCTTGTGAAATGGGTAGGGTTTCCTTCAGTTCTAGAAGCTTCTGATATTAAAAATTTGTGTATTGTTGAAATGCTAAAGAGACAAACTCCTGTATGAGGATTTAAATGCTCAGTTGTGATAAAACATAAAAGTTGTAATAGAAAGCTTTTATATAAAACTATAAACATGACTAAGACTACTTACAGACTATAAGTATATCAAGATACAGTATTTTGTATCTGGTGTTTCTTGTAGTCAGCTCTTCCCATTTATGTAGTTGTGCCCCTTTTTTAGTATTCCATCCCTCACTATATTGATTTTTCTCTGGGCAGAAGATAGATATTGTGAAACTTTAATATATTGTAAAATTCATCTGTCCAAAAGACCAGTCTGGGTTTTAGAAGGCTGCAGGGGTGCAGAAGGCTTTTGGAGAGTTTGCTACTCTGAATTGTTCAGAGGTTGCTGCGTTAAATCCAAGTGCTAAACCTGGCAGCCAGACAGCAATTCTGGTTTTATCTATCTAGATTAGCCAGTGCCTTAAAATAGACATCTTTATCTTGGTGGGCCTGAATTATCATTCAGTTCTGCATTGTTTGAAGCATGGTGTAGTGAAAATAAATGCAGCAAGTTAAAAACTGAAAGCTGCTGAGTGCTAGTGAGTCTTCCTTGGAGCAGCTTGACACATTATGAGCCTTCAGATTTTCCTGCATAATGAGTGGTGTCGATACCATGAAATTTTCTGCCATCCACTCTAAGGTATTTTGAAATTGTTGCCTGTGCTCTCTTTGGGAATGGCCAAGTTAGAACTGTTTTGCCAGGAAGGTGTGTCCTTGCCTTAAACAGCTTCTCTTGGCAAATCTCTTGGTTTGTGTAATAATTTCTTCTAGTTAGAGGGAAACTATGACATTACTCCCCCAAGCTGGAGAGGAAATGATTCTAGCCAGACACACGAGTGTGTGAATTCTTTCTGCCAGTCAGGCGGTTACCGAGTGCTTGGAGATGATCCAAAAGCTTCACATCCGGCCTGTCCCGCCAGCGGTGCTCGTTCCAGCACATCTGTCCTTGGGAGGATGTTGTTCCTCTTCCCTAAGCTGGGTGGGAGAGCAGTGCTGCTTCATCAGGAAACCGGTGCCTTCCTCTGCCTGCTCGGCTCCTGTGGGGACTGGGGCTCTTCCAGGTTGAGGCAGTCAGTGCTGTGGTCAAGGGAAAATGCTTTTTAACAGAAAGCCAAACCTTGATCCAGCCGTGTCATTGCTGAGTCTCTTCTGTCTGGTGCTATCTAGATGAACTCAGGAGAAAAAAAAACATTCTTGGTGTGTGCATCCGTCTCCCTCAGCTCTAAAACTTTTATATAAATGAGCTGAAGATTTGAGTAGAACTTTCTAACTTTAGATACCTTGCTGCCTTTAGCCTTAAGGCATTTTTTGCTTTGGAGATTTATGTTTCCTAAGTAATTGCCAGTTATTTTTCCCTTTATTATAGATGGTTTCTTTTACCTTGTTGCCTAGTTTGTACTTAGCCCAGAGTTAAAAAAAGATAATCCTATATTAAGTTACAAAGGTGAAGAGGGTTTCTGTTCCTGTTTTTATACGTTTTACATTATAGCCTTTTCTTGTAGTTTACTTACATTTCGACCTACCGTGGAAGATACTGTGCCTTCTGTATTTCATTATTTGAGATGTCTGTATTTTTGTCTGTATTTTTGTAATCATCTTGATCTTTCAGAAGTGTGTCACTTATCTCTCCATTTCTGTAAATGTTTATGGATTCCTACTCCAGTTTTCTTGATCCTCTTCTGCTAACTTAATTCCTTCTAGTCTTAATCTTTAAAAGGCTGGGAGCTGGAATAAGAGATGAAATACTAAACCCTCTGTTGTTGTTTTGTGAGCCTACAGCAATCTCGGCTGAGGACAAGAATGTTTTGTTATCACATGTTTTTACTATTAATCTCGTGTGCAGTTTACAGGCCATAGCACCTTATCAGCCAACTGCTTGGGCTGCAGCCCATTGTAAAGGCATATTAAACATGTGTGATGTGCTGACCCTTGCAAAATTGATTAGTACAGATTAGATTTTGAGCTTTATTAGAGTTTCTGTGCTGTTGACAGCTGAAACTCAGTAATGGGGATGGGGAAACAGAGTAGTTCCTTATCCCACCAAAAAAAAAATCCTGCTTAACTGCTTTATTGTTTGGG